TGAGCAAACCTGCCCCTGACTACGATTGCTATTACATATAGTATAGTAGACTTTATTATTGTATTACGTACTTTTTTCTTAGGTTAGTTCTCTTATAACCAATAAAAAATTTTGTTGCAAACACACAGCACTTTTACTATTTTTTCAGACAATTTAAGTAGCAATAACTGTCTATGTGCAACATTTAACATCAACTTTCAACAAAAAAAAAAACCAAAGTTAACATGTACATATATATTGTTAAAAAAAATAAGTTCTTGATTATATTACAAATGTAATAGTTATTTATTGTACAAGACGATAAAATTGTACTTTATCTTCGAGAGCGTTTTTTAGCTTCGAGACGTCAGTCGAGACGCTATTATGCTCGAGAAGATAATGCGGTTTTATCGTCGTGTGCAATACAACATTTTTTTCTATAGCAAAACTTCAAGTTCAGGTGAAAAATAGAATTTCAAAGTAATTTGAGAATAACATGGAAACCAACTACGTCCATTAATTTTCGATCTATCTGTGTAATGTTTATTTATTTTATCTAATTATTTCATTTAAAACTGTATTACAATCTGCTCTTATCCCCACAACATTTTTATCTAGCTTTCTATATATGTTTCTGCTACAAAATCAGAACAGTTCTAACAAACAACTCTTCGTTTGTAAAAATATGGTTGGATGTTAGTAAAATGCCGTTTTCACTCTTAAGACGACGTATCGGCCAACATCGATAACTGTAGCCTAAGACCACTTTCACGCTTATCAGCGTACCGTTGGTTTTGAATTTACAAGAAGAAATTACGCGAGAGTTGTCGTGTGTGTAAGGAATATAGGTGACATTTTTAGTTTTGTTTTATTTGTGTGATTTTCTTTACAAACAAAAATAAGTAAACCATTTCAAAGAATAAATATAAACTGTTTGTGACATGAGTGTAACTTAAAACAAATTGGTGAGTTTTCAATGTAAGACTTTTACTAGGTATAATAAATTTAATTTAATACTTAAGATATATGTAATAACTCTATACTGATTGCATTCTGTAACTGTATTCTATATTTTTCTACAATTATATAATATTCTATATAATTTAGTATTTTTGTGCAATTCGTATTTAAGAGTTGTGCTACCCTATGCAAAAAATTGTTTTTGTCCCTTTACAGGCAAAATACAGTTCAACTATTATACTAGGGCTCCATGATACTATGAACTAAAGATAATCCCACGCGCACGCGATCAGTCTATCTCTTTTGCAAGTGTGACGTCATTTGGCGACAAATATCACCAGAAATGTTCTGTTTTGCATGGAGTTTTTGTCAGATTTAGTATTGTTATATCAATTTATCTAGTACGTTGATAAATAAATGTGTGCACTTTATATAAAATATATTTCAGAATATTAAATTAAAGATAAACTTTTATCGCCAAGTGACGTCATGCGCATCGACGTCCAAAATTCCATTGCGAAGTGGTTTTATCTTGGAAGTCATAGTATCATGGTAGGGTTCCTAAATCTCTTTACTAGTTTTACTTTAAAATATAGTATTACTAAAGAAAGGTGCTCTGTTTTTTATTCTATTCTATTTATTTACGCTCTAACCACAAAAGTTATTAGCGACCTAAAAAAATATAATACAGGTAAAGTTAGAAAAAATTACAATAATTGATACAGTCCTGAGTCTTTAATATGAGTTATTGTGTTTTTAATGTTCATGTTTTTTCCTAAGGCTTCCTTTATATTACTTGGGATAGTGTGCTTTATTCTTGCTGCTTCATATGTTTTGCACTTAGTATATGCTTCACGGAGAGTGTTACTTGACAATTTTCACACATTGGCGGCACAGTTCACGTAAAGAGGTGTCTATGTGTGTTACAGTAAGTTACTGTGTCCTAATCGCAAACGTGTTATTTTCACTTGGTCCTGTCTATTCGCTGTGAGTTTCAGTCATGGTTTCACTAATTGTTTTGATTTCCTTATTTTGTGATGCACTTTACTTTTTTTGCCACGCACTTAACACTTCATATTATATTGCTGACTTAAAGTCATCTAAAGAAACTTCATTACTAAGAATGGAGTCCTGGCTGAAGGATGCTAAGCGCGCTAGTTCATCTGCGTCTTCATTTCCTTGTATACCTGAACGTGATGGAACAAACATGAAGTCAACAGTGATTTTATTATTATTTAGAATCTCTATTTCCGATTGGATATGTGAGGCAATTGGATTATTGGTATATAAACGTTTGATAGTGTGAAATGAGCTTAGTAAATCGGTTTTTATGAGAGACGGGAACTGTTTCGACTCTTTTATGTGCATAAGTGCTTGTAATATTGCAAACAACTTTGTAGTGTATGGCTAAGTAATAGGATTGAATTTAAATTTTAAGGATGTATTGGGTGTGAGGCTCAACACCGTCTGAAGATTTAGATGTATCAGTATATATCTTATAGTGATTTTTATTAGTTTCCATTTCTATCAAGAATGATTGTTTGATCAGATCTGTTATAGTTTCACTTTTTTATATACACTAAGGTTAGTATTAATCTTGGGAATTGGTATTAACCAAGGTGGAGAAGTTGTAACGAAAATACTGAAAATATTTTTTTACTGCCACATATTTCCACTAAAGAGGCCAAAAACAGAAGAACACAAATTCGACGGAGAATTTGCGGATCCCATACTTGCGAAGACACAGCAACACCAAGAGTAAAGAAATTAATCTACCCTGCCCCTACACGGCGACCCAAGTAAGAATATAGATCCATACGTCGACACTACGACACGCACTGAAACGACGACCCAAGTAAAGAATTAATTTGGAATTCACACCTGATTCTACCGGCGACCCAAGTAAGAATGACGAATTGGTGAACTTAAAAATTCGTTCATATAACATGAAAACAAACAAACGCTGAAATACCAAAACACAACAAAACAATGAGGTATCCTTTTGCGACGTATAAAAATTATAACGCGACTTCGAATAATACATTAAAAGAAATTGCCGAAGTAAATATCTTTAAAATAATAAACAACTCTGAAATGGTTTTATTACTTGGCGACGCTGAAAAGAACTAAAATATTATTTGGATTTTAAATTGAACGATACGAACGAAAGACACATTAAAACATTTTTAAAACATATATGAGGGGATTTCAATATATTACATATAAGGGGGATTTCAATATATACCAAAAAATCAAAGAAATTGTAAATGCTACAAAGTTAGGCAATTTGTTGGGAGAATTTCAGAAAATTCAAGCTATAGGTCATGTAAGTTTCTTCCAAATCTTTAGTAAAATGGTGGATTTAGTCTTGTTGTAGAGAAATTGTCTTGAAATCAATCTGTGAACGGATTGGTCTAAGTAGGGTGTTCTTTATTACTAGCTATTTTAGAAGCATATGAGAGAGAAAGGTATTTGCTTCGTAAACTTAGGGGTGGTTCTCCTGTTAAGCATTGTAAACTTTCAACTGGTGCCATTAGAAACGCACCTGTAGCTATTCGTACAGCTGTGTTTTTAACCGTTTCTAAGGTTTTCAATACTGATACTTTGCTTGATGAATAAACTATCGCATTTAGTTTTTGACAGTAAAAATTGTAATCCGATAGTCCTTGACCATGATTCTAACTGATTGATTGTTTGTTGTAAATGTTTTTGAATACATGTAGAGTTTTTTCTTTTGGCAAATAAAGCTAAGTCATCAGCGTATAATCTTCTTTTAACAATTGGTGCGCATTGTTGAAGTATGTCGTTTATGGCTATTAGAAAAAGGGTTGAGCTTACAGATGATCCTTGTGGTACTCCGTTCTCTTGAACTTTTTTTATCTGAGTTAATATTGTCTGATTGAAGTATGCAGCTGCAAGATTGAAGAGAATTTAAAATAAACTTTAAAATATTACCTCTGATATTCCAAATATGCAATTTTGATGTACTTAATCGCCAGACAGTATCATAAGCTTTATTAATATCAAAAAAGACAGCAATACAATCTTGCTTATTTGCAAATGCTTCATGTATTCCTGACTCTAAAAATGAATGATTGTAAGCATTAAGTAGTGAATTTTTTAAACCAGCATAGAGTTATGAAGAGCAATGTCTGAACTAAAGACAAAGACTAAAAAAAGTTTTCTAGTTCAATAGAAGTAGAGTTATTTTGTTATTGTTGTTCAGTATAATAATTAGATCGTCAGATATTGGTTGCCAATTTGGATAAAATAAGAACGTATTTATACGTATATCGGTTATTTATTTAAAGCATTTCAGCTATTTAATGCCAAATGCAATCTGGATTATATATCAGCAAACCTACTAATATGACATTTACTGTCCCGTTTTTTAAATGGTACTAGATAGAGCCTGACATTTTTTATAGAATATCTAAGAACGCGCCATGTAGAAATAATTTGTAACTTTCTATTTTAAACAAAGTATAAAACAGTGTGTGTGTGTGTGTGTGGTCGGTCAGATAGCCAAACGGGCCAAGCGGCCGATTCTCATTCGCTTCACTGTCGAATGGTAAAGTGTATGTAGGTTCAAGCCCTGGCTCGGTGTACAGAAAAATAAAAAAGGCTAACGCAGCATTTTAAACTTCTAAAATGAATCTGCGGCTTAGACTAAAATATGCTAAAGTCTGATCGGTCTATAGTGGAGCAGTACGGCAAGAGATAAGATCTTGCGGCTCGGTATACTCTTCCATAGATCTTTACAGGAAGAACGTGGAAAGGGCGCTAGATACCGGAAGGTTTTTAGACGCCACTGAACAGGGCAACAGAAAAATTTATAGTCACGTCTACGTGCCATTGTATTATATGCCTTTTACTATTATCAGCTCGTAAACAAATAAAGAACATATCCATTCGTATATCGATCGTTGATTCAAAATCTGTGAGTCAGACATTGACAAGTAGGTTTGCTTCTATATAATTCTGATTGAACTAGTAATATAGTGTGCTAAATAGCTAATATAGTGTGTTTATTTTAGGTTCTAAGAACGACAAAGCGGAGGATGAGCGAGGCACAGGAGGCCAAGAAGGTGGCCCAAAAGAAAGCTTCCAAGGAACTGGAAGCCAACTCTCAAGCAGTAAATATCGATGGCATGACCTGGAGGGATCGCTACAATTTTTTTGTCGAAAATATTACGGTAGAACCTATGCTCGCCTGTTACATCGTTCCTAGTGTCCTCGCTAGTCTTGCTACCCAAAACCTTAACCTTGAAAAAGCCTGCAGAGTAAACTTGAGGTATTCAGAGGAAGTTTGTGATGCCTTAACGGCGAGAATGACAGAGAATTACGCTATAGAAGAAAGAGAAGTTCAGCAATTAGTGGCAAATATGGGAGTCTGGAAGACGATGCTTCAAAGTGCTTTACCTGCTTTTCTCATTATGTTTATAGGCTCTTGGAGCGACCGGTGGGGGAAAAGAAAGCCATGCATGCTATTTCCAATAGTCGGCGAGTTTATGACCGTGGTAGGGCTTATGATTTGTACATACTTTTTCTACGAACTGCCAATGGAAGTGTCTGGGCTTATAGAAGGCTTCTTTCCCGCTATTACTGGTGGATGGTTTACCATGTTCATGGGCATATTTAGTTATATAGGTGACGTTACGACTTTGGACGTAAGGACGTTAAGAATCGGCATAGTTAACGTATTTTGCTCTCTCGGTATTCCAATAGGACTTGCGCTCAGTGGAATTCTTTACAAAAAAATCGGTTTCTACGGTGTATTTTCTGTATCAGCCATCATGTATATAATGGCGTTCTATTACGGGTACAAATCTATCAAAGAACCTAAGAAATTGGACAAGCCTACGTTACCCGATAAACCCTGTGCTTTTATTAGAGACTTCTTTAATGTTCGTCATCTTTTGGATACTTTCAGAGTTGCTTTTAAGAAAGGAGAGAGTAAGCGAAGAAAGAAAGTGATGCTGCTCATGTTGGTTGTGATGGTAGTTATCGGACCTATGCACGGTAAGTTATTTGTGTTAAATAATTTTTAAAATCATGAATGTGTTGCTTGTGTGAGTCCATTTCAAATAGGTAAAGAAATAATAAATAAGACTTACTCACAATCAATTTAATTTAACTATCAGACGACCGGTTTCGCTTTCTACAATATGCAAAGCATCCTCAGATCTCGATACAAAGTTAAATAAATGATGCCGGTACTCTATTAATTGATGGATAGTAGAACATGGTTGAAACTACTATATATTGTTGAATGGAGAACTCAACTCTGCTATTGTAGTTGTTTGACAGTAAACGGGAAGTTCTTGAGGAGATAGATTTGATCCAATGAAGCAGAGATATGTGTGTGATTGTTTGTTAAATGAAAGTGATGTAATATACCATTGTATTATTAAAAGTTATTTATACTCATTAGTGAGATATATTTATGAAATGTGTGTTATTTATTGAATAATTGTTTTATGAGGGTGACAGTTTTATGACAATGAATATGTTTAGATGTACAAATTGTGTGGGTGTGCAATTATTTTTCAACTTGTAGTTATCAAATTACTTTGATAAAGTTCTATTGGCAAAATAGTAGATTATTGCAAAGTCAAGTAAATAATATATTAGAATTAAAACAATTAAGGACAATTTAAAACACACTAAAACAGAAAACACTTAGAAGGGACGAAACAAACATTAAATTTAAAAGGGGGGAAGGACTTTAATGCACTACATCTCAGTCTTGGGCACAATGAGTTTTTTAACTAATAAAGTTAAATTAAATTAAATTAAAGAGATAAAGAGATGTTTCTTCCAAGTTAGTTTTTGGTCAAAGATCATACCAAGAAATCTAACTTCGTCTACATATTTAAGCTGTTCTCCATTTAAATATAAGTTTTTAGTTTGTATTTGAATTAATTTCTATTCAATTCGATTTGAAGATCATACTTATTTTAGATTACTTAGTAAGTAAAATAGGTTTTTAAAGTACAAATGCCAAAATATTCACGAATAACATGTCTATATTATGAGTGGAAGTATTACATAATTAAACATAAAAATATTACATAAGTAAAACATAAGCATATATCAATTGAATATACTTTTATTAGATACAGTCCTTGAATTCAGAAGGTAACAGAATACAAAGGAAAATGCATCTCAAATATTATCAATTTTGCCCAGCTAATTTCAAGAATAAAACGATTAAAACACATTTTTTTGCATCAGGGTCAATATTTTAACTAGTAATACTTATAAAATTATGGTTTATTATCATTGAAAATTAATAAATAATATAATTATTTTAATAACTGAAAAAAAAACATTTAAATAAGATCATTGACATGATTATTCATTGACATAAAGATTGGCCTAGGATGGTGACACGATACGCTTTCTATATAATAATTAGATTTAAATGATTTTTATTATGTATATATATCTCAGATATTCAGCTTCATTTCAGTTTTATTATTTTTAGCCCTATTTTGATGATTTTTTTAGCACACTGTGTAAAAATTTATAGATTTAATTTGGTATAGTAAGTTTTATAATAAAATTTTTTATTTGGCTTAATATATTATTGGGTTAATCGAAAGCTGGTTTTTTTAAGTTTGAATCATCCTGTGGCGGATTCCCGTTAATCTCGGATAATCCCGTTAGCGGATTTTCGTCAAACCTTGTTTTTCAACCTTGTTTCTAAGGATAATGTTTGTTATTTCATATAAAAATATGGATTGGTTCATTTTTAGGAGCAAAATGACTTTGCCACCCACAGTTGACGACTTTTACTATTATTACCATGATGTTCTGTATTAATTTGTAATAAGACGATGTGGGCTTTGGTGACTGATATCAAAGAAATGTCATATCGACATTCCAGAAGCACTGTATTTAAATAACAATTAAAAGCAACGACATGATCGTGGTTTTAATGACTAATGATAACAATAACAAAACACAAAAAACAACTTAAATTTAACTTAACCTAAGTACGCAAATAACAAAGAAAAACTACTAAAAAATAACTTAATACTTTGTATTTCCTCCTCTAGCGTCTATAACTGCCTGTACACGTCGGCTCATGCTGTCTATGAGGTTGCAAACATCATCTTGCTGGATGTTTTGCCATTTCTCTTCTAGAGCCAACTGAAGTTCGTTAATTGAGGCTGGTGTGACTTCACGACCTGTAATATTTCTACTAAGCATGTCCCAAACATCCTCTATTGATGACAGAGTGAGATCCCACAGAGTGGGATCGTATGGTGATGGGTATGGTGAATGAGGGAATGTATGGTTCTAGGAGGACATGACACGTATAAGAAGAGGAATGGACATAGAACAGGATTATATCAGAGTATGACTTTAAATCTGAGTGCTTTATTGCTGACCATCATCATCATTGGTGCTACAGCCCTATAAAAGGGCCTCGACTTTTCAAGTCTATCACGCCAGTTAGTTCTATCCACTGCCAACTGTTGCCAGTTTGCTGTGCCTATATATCTACACCATCCCTCCATCTGAGTTTTGGCTTACCCCTACTTGTACTTCTCACAAGTTGTGACATAAGTTTTTATAACAAATACTACGTCCTTACCACGAAATATATGTTTATACCTGAGATATATCTCATAGTTGTACCTCCTTCTCCAAACGCCATTTTCACAGATGCCACCAAATATTCTTCTTAAGATCCTTCGTTTCGTTCAAATATAAGCAGGAGGTTTTCATCTGCCTTGGAAATGGTCAATGTCTCCCATCCATATGTCAACACTGGTTGCAAAAGGGATTTGTATATGGTTATTTTTGTTTTTTGGCTTTTGCTTTTCATATGTCTACTCAATCCAAAACAGCATTTGTTTGCTAGGATTATTTTTCGCTTAATTTCTTCCGTCATGACGTTCTCCTTAGTGATCAGGGAGCCTAAGTATGTGAATTTGTCCACCACTTCAAAGGTAGAGTTATCAACCGTGAATTGGTGGACGATGTTTCTGGCTCTATTTTTGGGTGTTAATGTCATTATCTTGGTTTTCTCTTCATTTACTAGCAGGCCCATATTTTTGAGGCATTTGAGAAAGTGGTGTACATTTTTTCTACCTTCCATGTTGTGCGGGCAACTAGATCAACATCATCTGCTGTTCAATTTTTTCACCTGAGAAAAATCATGTCATTTTTTCGCTGTATTATTAACTATTCTTTTATCACAATGTTACAATCATTATCTTAGTCCAACCCTTGATAACCCTTCCTATTTACATTTTAACCCTACTCCATTACAAATACAGACAGTTTTAAAATATCAAAGAAGAAAGACCCTCTCTTGATTTGACTGCCGTTAGGGCCAGTCGTGATCTCTTGATTGTCGACTGCCGCTAGGGACAGTCGTTCTCTCTTCCCGTTTACCTATCATTTGGTACAGGTATCTGTCGTTGAGTACAGTCTACTCTCTCTCTCTCTTTGCTTATCAAGAAGAACAGAATCTCTCTTGGCTGTTTTCTATCGCTAATTATCTCTCTCCCGCTTTAGTTACGCGAAAAATACCGCATATACTATTTTAAATCATGTATAGACGCAAAGTGTGTTCTATCTCGTGATATCAGTGTAAGTACCGCGAAACACGTGTTTAGAAACCGGTGTCCGGACATATTCCGCATAAGAAGAAAAACCGCGAGTGTGTGGAGCAGAAAAAATATTGGAAAGACTTTTTATAAACTTAATTTGCTATTGTCTGTATACCCTTGCCCACATATATGTACATCTGCATATTCCAAAATTTGGGATGATTTATTAAAAATGTTTCCTCTGTTGTCTATTTGGGCATAGTCCGATCCTTGGTTTAAATTCTTTTCTTGTATTATTTAGATTTTTATAGAATTTTCTTGTTTGATTTTCCTGTTTTAATGCCTCAAGTTCTTCCAATATTCTATTTCCATAAGTTCGCTTTTTTCTCCAGTGGATGTACTTCTCTTCTCTTCTGAGGTCTTTATATTTGTGTTCTTTTTCTCGGGTTCTTCTTTGCTGCATCAGTTTATATGCATTGTTCTTTCTTCTTGTAATGTTCTCGCACTCAGCATCGAACCACTCATTGCGTAGTAGTGGTCTTTGCGGCCCTAGAACATCATTGGCTGCGTCTTTAATATAATTTTTACACATTTCCCATTGTTCAGTAATTGTTAGATTTTCTTTAGTTATGTATTTAAATTTGATATAGTTTTGAAACCGTTCTACCGTTTGCGTATTTTTGAGGAGTTCAATCTTTCAGCTTTATTGCTGATAGCTTACCGATAAATATCTTAGTGAAGGTGATTATTAGGTCTGATACTAGATTTAACAATAGTTAGTTGTTTGTTGTGAAATTGTACTTATTTGAAATATATGCCTCGTATACATTGTGACTATAATCATTGTAATTATTTAATACCCGCTTAGTGGTGACCTTGGACCAATGTGACAATCAGTAATGTTTTGTGGTTGATGCTGTGTATTTCGAAAATAAGGAAATAACAGATTAATTTCGTAGTCTCATTGCTTGTAAAAACGCTCTTATGATTAATAGCAAAGTTCATAATTTTTTAGTGACCAACGAAACGGTAAATAGCTAGATAATTATATAACAAGTCAGTAAAATGCCAACAAAAATACTTTTTAAATGAAAATTCGTGGAATGTTCGATTTGATTATGCAGACATTATCGTTAATTCTTTGAATACCGGTGTATGTGTAATTCATATTTTGAAAGTTTATCTAAAGCAATATTGGCCTTATGTAAAAAATATCGTTAATGCTGTTTTTAATTTTTGTCTTTTTCACTATAATGTCACATACATTTAATACATACGGAATACATATTATGGAAAGATACCTACATATATTATATCCTACTATTATCTACCTAGATTATCTACAAAGGCTGAAATTTGTTTTTTTTCAAAAAACGCCAAGGAACCTTGGTTTCCTCAAGGAAACTTCAAATTAGGAAAAATAGACTTTCCAGTTAAAAATTGTGTAAAATA